GGTCAAATTGGACCACTGCGATTCTATTCCTCTTGGGTGACTAGATGCTGGTGTGTGTCAGGTAACTACACACAGTAATACCAAGAAACCGCCATCGGATTGTTTACCCACTGACTAAGAATCCTTAGTTAATTTGATAGAATCTCGGCTTCGGTGCAAATCAATTTGTCACTGTCTGAGGGCTGTTTGTTGGCACCAAGTGCAGTTCTGCTATTGGTAAGCAAATATCATATTGCTAGTAGCTATCTCTTACACAGTATCACGTTTAACCTCATCGACTTCAGACTACCTGCACGTTGACAGAACAGAAGTATATGTATAGACGAAGCGACTTTTCACTACACGAAGTCAGAGATAGGCTCGTTGGCCACCAGAAGATCCCGGGTGACAGTTTCGTCTGTTGCTGTTTCTGGATCCAGTAAACGAAACGAACATCTGGAAGATGGGAATACCGATTAGTGCCTGCTGGGACTGTAGGACGTCAACAAGGCCGCAAGTGTCTGGCACTGCAAGCAAACAAGCCAAATTGGCGACTACATGATTCTCGTGGGATGTGGCGACAGAACAATCGAATTATTCTCAGATGCCAGGCACGAGTTTTGTTAACCGGTCTGTTGCTGCACAAATTGCAAACCGTTCAATTGTCCATTATGTATGTACAGGTTCCGAATTATAGATAGTTGCAAATGGCCCTAAGCAGAGAAAGCCTTACCACCACACATATTGATCCGCCTATTAGATGATTGCTTGCGGGATTCTAGAGGGCTTCTTTTAATCTTCTAGTCACAAGTGCCCACAATTAGTGAAATAAATGTGCGAACTTTCGGAACAATCATTGCCATCCACACAGGCTGTTAGGGTAATGAACAGGAAACTAATCGATCACCAGGTTCACGCCGTTTGCAGCCGGCGCGATGTAGTTGCTCAATCAAGCACACATGCAAGATGGGGATTCAGTGCGATCGAATCGAACTCCACCCTGTGCATCCCAATTATTGCGAATAGGTTGCATTATTTCAAACGGATGGTGAAGTACCAATCAGCCAATTTGTGTCACAACACTAGAAGTGAAACCTTCATCTTTTCTCGAAACCTTGGTTAGGCAATCAGTTTTAATTAGGATGCACAGCGATCGCAATTTTCGCCGTTCTGTGACAACAGTTCGTGGCAGTTTTTACTATCATGGGAATCGCTGTCGCCACGGATTCTGGTTCAGCTCGGGCCAATCTTCATCCGCGATTCTTCATCTATCGGACCCTGTCACGTGACCCTTCGTGTAGAACAGTCTGATATGTGCACAATTTTCTGACCACGACTGCTGACATCGACCAGAAAGACAACCGAAAGACACCGAATTCTAAAGCCGCCTCATTACCGATGACTGTGCAAAAAACACAAAGTGATAAGCTCTGATGTATATGTAGTTTTATGCTCATCGTATGTATACGTTGTATGGCCATCAAGTGAATCAATAGTTGCGTGCGCGCATTTACCATGGGAATTGTTTATCATACCAGTCTAAGCGGTTCTAGGGAATTGTTTATCATACCAGTCTACCATAGCGGTTCTACTGCTGGCCGTGTCGCACACATCTGGTCAGTTCAAGGAACGTTCCAGAAACACAGTGTCTAGGATTTTGGTAGAGTTTGCTCAAGTTTGTTGACACTAGACCCAAGAGACGATGCGGCGTGCAGTTGAGACGCACTATGCTGGTGTGCTCACACAAAATATCACCATATGATTACCGATTTACGGCCAATTGAATCAAACGCAGGGAATCCACGCAAACCCGTATTCTCCGTTTGGCTTCTTCACGAGAACAACCGGTGCGTTGTATGCAATGTTGCCATTCTTCAATATTTCTTGAACGTGAACAGTTCGGAGTTTTCCTCAACCACAGACTGTACTGAGGACACGTTACAGGAGGGAAGCTTTTAGATTTGCAGCCTTCTCATGGCAGTGCTTCGGTAACATTCAAGCTTCACTGCGCCATATCTTGTCATCAGTTTTCCCCACATTAGGTCAACCACGGATTCTGCGGCTGTGCCCCAGATTATCTGTCCTCTATGTGGACTGATGAGGAACTCGTGCTGCACAGGACCATTTGCCTAGTCGCATTCAGTGCATTGATAATCCGTCAAATTTTAGTCGGTATCCACTCACTACTCTGCTCACGAACATCAGGAACGAGAGCGTCTGCTGAGTTCCAGGCAAATCTCTCTTCAAAAACAAATTAATATGCAAATGAGCGTATTTGTAAACGAGGATATTGTTTCGCGAAATACAGTCATTTGCAAACCAATTTGCTTTTGCGATATGTCGAATATCTTACCAAATAAACCGTGGGGTCGTGAGCTGTCGAGGAACGTTTTCAGCAACCTTCCGAGTAGTGTATTACATATATGCAGGGTATTTATTGCTTCATGTAATTTGGCAGAGCAACAATGGAAACCTCAATCTAGGCCAGTTACAACGCCCGGAACGCTCTCGCTGCAGGGCTTCGACTGTGATACGAAAATGAACCATATATTGTCTGATCGAATCAAACGAGAAAGGCAAGTTAAATTTGTAGAAACAGCGGTGTTTGTCTGAAGGCAAAGTTTCAGAAAGTGAACACATGAGTGCCAATATTGCTTAGGGCGCATTTCACGCATTGAATCGATCACAATCTAACCGTGTACCTACAAAACTCATAAACCTAATCTATCTCTTTGGTCCGTGTTCAAATCTGACCACAATGCTTAAGGACAGTATCCCTAGATTGTTAGAAATAATTAGAAATAGTTAGAAGGAGATAGTTTGCATAGAAATCTATAAAAATTTCACGACTTCTTCTAGATTGGCTACCAGCATTTTGAGGTAGTATTTCGGACGAAATGAGCTCCGTCTGGTTCAACTCAGGGATATCCTGTCCATCTGGTGTCATCACTTTTACTAGGTACTCCTACTATGTAATGATCAGATGGTTCCAGATTGTATGTGGTTGCCTAAGATCTCCCACCAAGAAACCATCATCCATACACGACAAACAATCTGATTGCATCAGGTTACTTACATATACTTTTTCCCTCGCAGTTACTCCTGTTTGTTGAGAGTCATCAAAAGGAGGGCGTGATAACTGGGATGTAAGGTAACAGCTCGATTTTCGACAACGCAGGTGAATCAACAGTGACCGATAACTGGGTAAACTTCGAGATTTCACTTTCACAATGCATCTGAACAATTCGCTCACGACATCCCACTAAATTCCCAGCACCTAATAAGATTACGTGCTCACAAAGAAATCTGGGGGCGCTGCACTTTTATGTAGGTCTGCTTCATTGCAAAATGTATTTAATTAAGACATGATCAAAATTGCAGTATGATTTTCAACAGTTTTCCCTCCAGTTCCCCGTATTCTTGTTGCCTGTATCACCACTTTCAACAGGTTATAGCGGGGCGGTTCCAGATTCCAGTCGTTTGTCACGGATTGTCCATCAAAGAACCCAGAATGCAAACACGACAAACAATTTGCTTATCCCGATGGGGGACTTGAATAGATATTTCCAAGTAGTGTTTGTAGTTGAATTTTGAATTGAGCTCGCAGAACACTACAAAGTTCACAGATACAAAGTTCACGAGATACCAGAACTAAAGATGTAATTATTCCCAGAGCTTTCTTACTGGCTACATTAAACGCTGAGGGATCTGGAAACTGTCCGGCGATTATGCAATCAAAACGCAGATTTATACGCTTTGGCCTTGTATGAACGCCGAAAATTCCATACACGCGAACAGGCTTTTTCACTACTTTCATTGCATTTTACGTATCAGTCGCACCTCGATCCTCACAAATTACCGAACCGGTTCGGTCCCATTTCTAATCCAATTTGTCCGACATCCATTGCGGTTCATTCAAAAACCATTATGATCATTGCCCGTGATAACTGCGACCAGAAAATGTCGGATACTTTTAGTTTACGTGTGGATAAAATTTGAGTGAGTGTGAAATGATCACAACGTGCAGATACTGTGAGAGCTCAACGATTACATTATTCTGATGACATTTCGGAAGTCATCTTGTGATTTCTTCCTCACTTGCGACGCTGCATCGACCACAAATCATCTATCGGTCACCGCGTTTGGAGACTCATTGGTCTAGAGGATATCCTCCAATTCTCTTGGGTAGCGCAATTTCCCAAAGTGGATTTGTTGTGCACGTCAAGGATACACAACCATGCGCGGTTAGTCATCCAATTCGAGCGTCCGATCTCGATTTAATCGGGGGCGATTGTTGGCGTGTCGTTCCCCACCTACTTTGTCAGTGAGAAATGCAGGCATATAAATCGGCCAAATGTGTCAATGAATGCACAGAGCTAGATTTAGTGGTCATCCACTCTCAGTTGTCATCAGGAAGACAACAAACCGTTTTCGAATATTGCGTTGTCCGAGAATTTTGGGAGTACATCATCTGGTCAAGCGAGACTATCATACTCACGACGCAGAAAAGAAATCGATTGCTTGGTGTCCGTGCAAAGTCATAAGTCGCCTGATCATTTAACACCTGCCTCTGTGTCCGTCTAAGGAAGTCCGTCGTTTCAATAATAGACCAGTTTGTAAGCAAAACTGAAAGATGCATTAAACTCAGTACGCAACCATTCATGAATTACCATTAGACCGCTCTCACTGACAATGCCATGAGATCACAATGAAATGAGACAGACAATCTTAAGTTTCTGGGTAGGAAAACAAATTCTCAGCAGCAACGGAAGCATGCTGTTCCTAATCTCTGCTCACCCGCAAATAACATTATCGTACCTAGTCTAGGTGAATTTCGGTTGCTCAGCAACGGAGAAACGAAGAATTGGTGTCCATCAGTGTCAAGTATTAAGTGGTCGAAGGTAAGTTGGTCAGCTTGCTTCGAGTTAACACGCCCGAAGTCGACAACATTTGCTGTTTTCGGGTGCACAAAACCATGAATTTAGAATAAGTTGAAGTATTGAAGTCCTCGTGGACGCATTTCACTCCGTTTGCAGAGGTTCAAAATTAGGGAGCCGCGACGGATTCTCAGAAGCACCTTCACCTCGACATATTTGATGCAATCGCCAGGTAATGGCTGACGGTTTTTAAAAAGTCAATCTGACATTCCTTATTCGCAATCGCCGAGCATGCTTGAAATGACTTGCCAGAGGCAGTTTTTCCAGGATAATTGATTTTCTTCAACCCGACTTGGAAAATTTCCCTCGAGATCGTTTTGTTCGTCCCCAAAGGACAAAATCACTGAAAATATCGGAGTGCGGCTTTAAACATTGCAAAATAATTGTGATTCTGCATTTTGTTCCAGCAAGTTCTTTTAAAGTACGACACCCCGTCAGATCAAGTTCAACGTTTCTACCGATTTTACACATTCCATCGAAGTACAAACCGAAGTGTTTCAAAAATCCCCGCCCCCCGAAACTGGTGGTTTCAGTTTGCTTTGGAGGCTAACTCGGGCACCTGACATGAGCATGTAAGTTGAGAATATGAATGCTCTTGATACGTCTACGGCTGAATTAAATTTTGGAAAACGAATTCATTAGACAAAATGGCGCCCTTCAAATGACCTCATTTCAGGGTGCACGGGTGACGAGCGATCTTGCATTACTTGAACCTATGCCCATAATGCCGGATAAGAAGTACGTGACAACGCAGCCTGTCAGTTTACTCGTCACATTCGGAAGATGTCATGTTTTCCGTAGGATAAACGCGGCGCTGCTTTCGCAACATGTGTTGCGTGAACGGAGGTCAAATTGGACCACTGCGATTCTATTCCTCTTGGGTGACTAGATGCTGGTGTGTGTCAGGTAACTACACACAGTAATACCAAGAAACCGCCATCGGATTGTTTACCCACTGACTAAGAATCCTTAGTTAATTTGATAGAATCTCGGCTTCGGCGCATATCAATTTGTCACTGTCTGAGGGCTGTTTTTTGGCATCAAGTGCAGTTCTGCTATTGGTAAGCAAATATCATATTGCTAGTAGCTATCACTTACACAGTATCACGTTGAACCTCAATGACTTCAGACTACCTGCACTTTGACAGAACAGAAGTATATGTATAGACGAAGCGACTTTTCACTACACGAAGTCAGAGATAGGCTCGTTGGCCACCAGAAGATCCCGGGTGACAGTTTCGTCTGTTGCTGTTTCTGGATCCAGTAAACGAAACGAACCTCTGGAAGATGGGAATACCGATTAGTGCCTGCTGGGACTGTAGGACGTCAACAAGGCCGCAAGTGTCTGGCACTGCAAGCAAACAAGCCAAATTGGCGACTACATGATTCTCGTGGGATGTGGCGACAGAACAATCGAATTATTCTCAGATGCCAGGCACGAGTTTTGTTAACCGGTCTGTTGCTGCACAAATTGCAAACCGTTCAATTGTCCATTATGTATGTACAGGTTCCGAATTATAGATAGTTGCAAATGGCCCTAAGCAGAGAAAGCCTTACCACCACACATATTGATCCGCCTATTAGATGATTGCTTGCGGGATTCTAGAGGGCTTCTTTTAATCTTCTAGTCACAAGTGCCCACAATTAGTGAAATAAATGTGCGAACTTTCGGAACAATCATTGCCATCCACACAGGCTGTTAGGGTAATGAACAGGAAACTAATCGATCACCAGGTTCACGCCGTTTGCAGCCGGCGCGATGTAGTTGCTCAATCAAGCACGCATGCAAGATGGGGATTCAGTGCGATCGAATCGAACTCCACCCTGTGCATCCCAATTATTGCGAATAGGTTGCATTATTTGAAACGGATGGTGAAGTACCAATCAGCCAATTTGTGTCACAGCACTAGAAGTGAAACCTTCATCTTTTCTCGAAACCTTGGTCAGGCAATCAGTTTTAATTAGTATGCACGGGAATCGCACTTTTCGCCATTCTGTGACAGCAGTCCGTATCAAACCATTTTGGCGAAAATAGGGTTTCCTGTAGACAGGAATCGCTAACGATAATCGCAGTGGATTCTGGTTGAGCTCGGTCCAATGTATATCTGTTGAGACAATGTGAGGTGCGTTGTATTTGCGTTTTCTTCCGAGTCGCTCCTACATGTTAGGAGTCATCAAACGAACGACGTGATAACTAGGAGGGAAGATGACAGTATGATTTCCGTCAATGCAAGTACATGCACACATCGATCGATACCTGAGTGCGAATTTACCCCATAAATTTCTCTCTCATCTTTCTTTCCCATTTTTCTTTCTTACTATTTTAGAATAAGCGGTATTTGATCGAAGGCAAAGTTTCAAAAAGAGAACACGTGTGCACACACGGATGCATTTCGCGCATTAAATCGATCTAACCCTGTAACCCCTCTCTCTCTTGTCCGTTTTGTGCATGTTCAAACGCAGAACACTACTAAGTTCACAGATAGGACGAGATACCAGAACTAAAGATGTAATTATTCCCAGAGCTTTCTTACTGGCTACATTAAACGCTGAGGGATCTGGAAACTGTCCGGCGATTATGCAAGCAAAACGCAGATTTATACGCTTTGGCCTTGTATGAACGCCGAAAATTCCATACACGCGAACAGGCTTTTTCACTACTTTCATTGCATTTTACGTATCAGTCGCACCTCGATCCTCACAAATTACCGAACCGGTTCGGTCCCATTTCTAATCCAATTTGTCCGACATCCATTGCGGTTCATTCAAAAACCATTATGATCATTGCCCGTGATAACTGCGACCAGAAAATGTCGGATACTTTTAGTTTACGTGTGGATAAAATTTGAGTGAGTGTGAAAGGATCACAACGTGCAGATACTGTGAGAGCTCAACGATTACATTATTCTGATGACATTTCGGAAGTCATTTTATGATTTCTTCCTCACAAGTGACTTGCGACACTGAATCGACCACAAACCCTCTATCCGTCGCTGCGTTTGGAGACTCATTGGTCTAGAAGATATACTCGAATTCAATCGAACAACGTAGTTTTCAAAAGTGGATTTGTTGTGCATGCCAAGGATGCTGACCGGTCAGCGACCAATCAAGCGAACTTATCGAGCCTAATGTCACCATCGGTGCACTTGTATGACTGAAAATGCATTCTACTCTACCCTTGTGGTGAGCAACTCGTGGCAAAACGTTTAAGGCTCCAAACAACATGCATTATTGATTTTTGTAGGCTTGACGAATTTGTTGCAGATTGTATGCCATCGTGGAGAATCGCCCATCAGGTAAGCCATCATTATGCACAAACGTCAAACAATTTTGGTTATCTCAATGTGGAATTCGGATAAATCTGTTGATGCGGCCTTGTGCAATTAAATTTACGCAAACCAGTCAATACTCCCAAATGGAATGAACCACAAACGCTGATCATGGAGTTCTTTCGAGGGCTATCTTACTGGTTCTTGCATGTACCGGGGAATCTGGCAACTATGCAGCGATTGCGCAGGCAAATCAGTTATTCTATACAATTAAGCGTCGAGTGTAACAGTCGGCGATGTAACTAGATCATCGTTATTGCAGTTCACATATCAGTATGCGTTTTGATCTCATGAATCATCAAGCAGTTCTCAGGTTCAACATCCACTCAAGTTTGCCTGGACTCGCACCAAAGTTCACCAATAAACCACTATGATCATTGGTGGTCATCACTGCGGTCGTTTGGTTGCAAACCGCTAATACTTTACAGCTGGGTTCTTTTCCCATTACTACGTGACTGAATGTGGTGTGTGTGTGTGTGTGCGTGTGTGTGTGTGTGTTAGTTCACTCAAATGTCATATGTACACGCACACGAATGGATTTCAGAGACACGTCACGTGCACTAAGAATTGAGCTCACATTTTCATCGGGAACGAATGTGCTCGAACAAACGGTGTCATATGATCCCCTGTTTGTGTTACAGCATGTGGTTCCCGTGCTCGAATTGGTCCTCTCCATGACTACCATATCCAGACATCTTATCACCGTTGGGAATCGGTTTGAAAACCTTCCGTGAAATATGAAAACGCTTGATTTTCCACATGGAATATCCTATCCCATGAATAGTGGTAGGTATCAATTCAAGGGAGGCCACCGTGAGCTGCGGAAGTATTGGTAACATGCTCACATTCATGTCAGACCTTCGGATTCCAAACCCGCAGCGATCACTTAGACGAACTGCGAGTGAGGTGGAGTAAGAAGCGAGACTGTCTTTCCACTGCTTTCCCAATTGCGGTGTAGGCCAAGACATGAACAACATCTTTGTTCCGAAAATTATGTGAACGTGAATTCTCAAAATCCAACAGCCACTAAAACCCAATCAGCTGTTTCCGCCACCGCTTACCAAATGCTTTCGACCTCATTCAGCGGTATTCATCTTGTGACGTCCATCAATTTTACAGAGCCACCTCTGTGTGAAAACCGGTTTGGTCTAACATGACGAATGCAAAGTTTCATCTGGTAGGACTGTTTCGTCCACCTATCATCTACTACTTTCCAACAGTGCTCATTGCATCCAACGTTCACCCTCATCAATCTATTCTCCCTTCAACTTTTCCATCTTAAAGCCACTCTTCCGACTTAACATTTCGGATTTCAGTTGTCACACTAATAACACTAGTAGTTTTTGGAATGTTGAAGGGATTCTTTGTATTTTCTAGTACCCTTCCGAAATATAGGTGGACGTTTAACCGTGAACTGCAACATATCATCTTTCCAAATGTGCAATATTGAAAACTCCCCATAGTAGACTTCCGAATATAGTATGTTTCAGCTTGTCGGCTGGCGCGCACGGTTTGCATTCAGCTTCGCCTTCTCTCAGCCTCAGGGACACCCGGCTTTTGTATCAACCGGACGTAGCTCACTCACCTACAGTCTACCTCATAACGGACTGTATGGTAGCCTGTGTCACCACACTAATCGCAACTCACACGAGAAAAGAGGAATATTTCAAAGTTTGCTTATTTACAGGTGGTCACGTACAAGGGCATTGATTCTTCCAGTGGCCAGGCATGACAAACTTGAAGCATCGGGTCGCTTATGCGCGCTTCGAATATTCCGTATGGATGGCTGCAACCTGTTTGGCTTGTTGGTCCAATTTGGTCTGCAGGTTCTCCAATCTTAATTCATCCCTTTTCTCCTGCAACTGCCATGTGGCCACTGGCGCCTCGGCCAAGTTCCGGGCCAGATGTACAAACTCCTACAGACTCAAATGGCTAGTTCCACAAGGTCCGTAACAAACCTTACCTTCCAATAAACGTGGGGTGGACCTGTGGGGAGATCGCAGACTGCTCAAACGCCTCATCAGTATTAGTCGTGGTTACACCCGTAAGCTGGTGTTCCTTGACAATCAACATGCCGGTCCTCTGACAATGTAATGACCAAGCCTTCATCAACATATACCGGCTAACTCTGGACCGATCACGACTGGTACAATCCAGACTGCTGTCGATCGCAAAGGCGATTGGAATTCGACTGCCGGATTCACAACTCTGCGGCAAAAACAAACTTGTCCGACCTCAGAACGTGAACTGACCTGTGAAATATCCGGTCCCACAAGCCTGTCTGACATTCGAGTTACTTACTTCATTCCGTGATCCATTGACCTACTCTTCATCGAAACCTCGCTTCCTTTGACTTCTATTTATCTCAAGTGTATCTACCCCCGATTTAACGAATTTTCACGTAATTTCTGCTATCATATAAATAATATATAATAATGTATAATAACACAAACATATAATGATGTGTTAGCCAGGAGGAACAATGACAGAAAACAAACTTTATTAGCTACCCCCATTGTTCTCACTTCTGACATAGTGCATGCTGATTTGGCCGTCCACCGTGAGATCGGGTTACGTGCCGCCAAGGATAGTTCGGATTTTGGCAGACTGGATATAATGGCCCAGAGGAAGAGGAGTCTGCTGGGGAAGTCCAACGTGATCACATCTATCTTCTTCAACGGCGAAAAACAGCAAACGGGTAATGACGCAAGCTCCGTCACCTAAACACCTACACTGTCTTAGAAGGATATTCGACGTTTGGGGAACTGAAAGACTGACTAACACGGAGGCTTTCTACCCAACACATCATGATGACATGATAAAGACCACGATCACATCGAACACCTACAGTGAGTGGGGCATTTTCTCCGGATGGAAGTGAGCAGCATTATAAGGCTGCAACTAAATGGACAACTGCATACAATTAAACAAACACTGGCAGGCAGAAACTTTGTCCTCTGGTCAATTTGAAGATAGCATAAAGTTTTGATTGGGTCTTGCCAGCCGAGTCGCACAGGTTATACATTTACGTAAGGATATTCCTAAAATTAAATGGTAATCCTACGGAGCATTCTTATATTTCCAGCATAGCTGGCTGTGAGTAGTTTCTTTCCTCAGTGGTTTATTGAAAGTATGACTTAAGATCATTTTTTCGACTAACGGCTGAAGAGTTTTCTGATAATCATCTCCAGCAACTTCTGTGCTTGGCACCGAGTTAGAACTTGCTTATTTGCCTTCTGGGTGGTTTCATCCGTTCACATCCCCGACCGCTAATGCGCACCCAAAAGGACCATGTGTAGACAAATAATGAAAATGGTATTGCCTACGAACTACGATAGAGAGATTATAAAACCATACGTCTAGGCGGAACTGACCGGACATGAGAGGGCACTAGAAACATGCATCCCATGCCATCCCAGTGTGCAAGTGAAAACAGCGCCCAAATCAATCACTCGCTCCATGACTAACACACCGTAAGGTGGCCGAACAAATCGACTGCGTGCCACTGTTCAAACATGTTCAACTGTGATAAAATGTGATGTAATGCAGTGGGATGTGAAAATAGCACACAGTGTTTGTCGAGTGCACATTATTCCAAAACAGAGTGCAATAAGCCTAAATGGGTTTGACTGAGGCCTATTACATTAAATGAATGCGTGAGACCCACGCAGAGCCGCATTGACGTTTCGATCTCGGTTAGTGAGGAAACGTCTACAAGCAACCTGCCAAGATAGGCGTACAAATGAACAATCAAGCGGTGCACTCGAATTGCCCGTATCTCGCAACATCTCTAGCCTATTGCACTGCCGTGCTACACGGACAAGCCAGCTATCATTTGGAAAACTTCCTGTGAGACTGGTGTGTTGCAGTTGAGCAAAAACGGTTGCTGTGGAAGGAACAGAAGTGTTTTATTGAAATACTGAAAGCAATAAGAATGACAAAGTAAATGAGCATTTTTGAGGAAAATCTCTCATTCAGTTTTGGGGAACACTCTGCTCATCGCGGAATTCCGTGGAACAAACAATAGCCATTTGCTTTTCCTGGTGATCAACACGTAGGTGACGTTTGAGGTTGTCCGATCGTGAATATTCGTTCCCACATAACGTGCATACAAAAGGTCGCTCTCGAGTGTGAACGACGGAGTGTCTTTTCAGTTCAGCAGGTCGTAGAAAACGTTGCTTGCAATCTGTGCACTCGTACGTCTTGGGTTTCGGTGTGTACACGTCCTGTGGTTTTGGAGCATTGTCCACCGGATGCTCCCGAACCACGTGTCTTTTTAAGTTCATCGGATGCTTGAATATCTTTCCACAGTAGTCACACAGGAATTCACAGGTTGCACTGTGTCTCATCATGTGCTTTTTCAAAGCCGATGGGGAGACACAGGTTAATCCACAAATCGGGCATTTCCGATGCGAATAAGTTGGGCGCTCGTTATTGTGCACTCCAAAGTCATGTCGGTGTTTGCTATATGCGGAAGCAAATAGACGGCTACAGGTATTACACCACAGACTATTTTCTTCATTATCTGAGAGGCGTTCAGTCCGTGACGACTGGGTCGCATCTGGAACCGATGAGGAATTTCTTGTGTTTTGGATTTGTACTGAACCTGCATTGCAGATTTCCCCTCGTTCGCAGCAGATATTTGCCACACTTTCAACTGTTTCTCTCTCGCAATCCACAGGACGCCGTTTGTCTTTCCATGGAGCGTTCACCAATTCTGTGATAAACAGGGTATAGGAAGATATCGCAACTGATCCATTACAATGAATAGAGGATTTCGGAATTCTATTCGGGATGTGAAGCCTTTCAAACTGACGAACTGAACTCACAAAAGACGGATAACATGGACATTGTAAACTGGTGAGATGAATCGGGATTTCCAAGAGATTTTCAATGATAATTTCGAGAATCAGTAGACTGTGTTCCTTTACCCGTTACTAGTTTGTGGGAATACTCCACAATGAACATGAAATGTCGATTGATATAAATGCGCCGACGAAATCGTTCACCACACGAGCAGAGTAGGCCTGATAATTTAAAGCCGTTGATGAGTCATTCAAGATAATCTTCAAACTAGAGTGTTGTTATTGATGTCAATGACATTATGTGTGTTAAGAATTCATTCAGTCACGGTTGTGATTCAAAATCAATAGAATGATTCTCTCGGTCAATCTTGAATATTTGGTTCTATCAACTAATGCGCGTGCTTCAACGTGGGAGAGAAGATAACACTAAGACTTCAGACATCGCACGAGAGTGCACGCTGAATTCGGGTGCAGAACCACCTCATATAGTGCAATTTTCATTCCTCTCTAACATAGCAGGATGTTTTCATCGAATTATACAAACGTGGAAGGAAGAACTTGTTAACGTGTTAGTTGGCGATGATCGTGGTGTCTTCACCATATCGTACTCGGGCGTGGATTCAGGTAACGTTTGGGCTGGTCCACAGCTACGAACACGCGTCTCGCTCCTCTGAGTCCTGCTCTTTAGTCTGGGCCTCGCTCTTTTCATCAATCTAAACAATTTGCTCGCAGTATCCACCTGCATCCACGAACCAATAATGGCAATTCATCTGAAATCACTTGCTCATATCCTCATATCCTGCTCATATAGGACAATGTGAAATCGACCTGCAGAATACACCGATTAACCAAACAACACAAGGAGACGTCTTGCATTGTAGATTTGCTCAAGTGAATTTTGCGGTTTTCGGGTGGTGAAGATTGTGGCTGAACCGGTTTCCCTCCGCTAGTACAAGAATCATAAATTTCACGTATTCGAACAACAAGTTATATTACTGATGGTGATCCACAGACATATATTTATATCATTTTACAACTTACCGACCGGTGCATAGTGTTGCAGCAAGCCGTCCAACTGATCAACTGCAACAGAGAGAAAAGGAATACCGGGCGTATCGCTGAGTTCGAATCAGCACGTTCGTGATAACATTGACAATTTTGTTCAACATACTAAAGGCGATTTGATGAAATGTTAGAAAATTCCTCGTCAGGTATGCTTCACGCATTGAGGAGTAAAATGCTTAGCATCAGCATCATTCAAACGATACTCACAGTACTTTCCACCTTCGACTGTACACTTGAGAAAAAGCAAGCATTTTAGGATCAGGTATAAGTGATGCATTCCCACATAAGCTGCCATCAAATGCTCACACGTGATCCGCACATATTTAGGAACACTACGCTTGCTCATAGTGAATGCGACTGGACAGCAAAACTAGCCAATCTTAAGCCGTCAGGCATCTGACCTAACGAGTTTCGGGTGCGCGTAGTAAGCATGCGATGGCTATTCGCGCATGACCGATGTGCCAAAGTTAACGAACCACTGCACGCTGACCGATCTATGGACAGAGCATTTTGAGGACATACCAAATCGGCCTTCTCTAAGTGGCCATAGTAGGCCAAAATTACTTACATGTAATGTATTATGGAAGGGAACGTTCCTTGTTCAGTCCAGGAGTGCTAGTTAGTGAGCAATCGATAGTACAACTCAGAACACTCATTTCGCTGAAATAAAATACAATTCGGCGATTGTCTGATTGAAATCTGAGCTAAGCAAGAGCTATTTTTAAAGCAAATTTTAAAGCCGCATCCGTCGCATGAATAGATACGATAGGCGGAGAACAATTCATGAACTGAGCAACAGTCAGAAACTAGCTTAGGCTTTCCAATTGCGGAAAAACGACACGATGTAACACCGTGAGTGAGTTTGCGTAAATTCCT